GTATAATGCGTGCGATAGACGGGTTCTACTTGCTTCAGTACTTGAACTGAAAAGCTACATAAAATCTGAGACGATGCAAACTGAAAAGTTTATTAAACCAGAAACTACTACCACTGAACATCTACTACTAAACTAAAAACTAAAAAATTTAATATTGAAACAAAAATTGAAGTTAAGATTAAATTAACATTTAAAATAAATTAATATTAAAATTAAATTAATATCAGAGTTGAAATAAGATTTGAAATTAAAGTACAAAACTACAAAGGCAATTTGAAATCGCACGTTGAAATCGCAAGTGAAGTTGTTTCACTGTTGGCTTGACTGAATTAGATAGAAGAATGATGATAATATTTTTTGATGAATAATAATTTTGTCTCTAGTAGGTATTTCGAGACCGTTCATCACGCTCACTATACTTCACGAAGCACCCTCTTTTATAGATATTTCCTCTTGTAGTTTCATAATAATCCTGCTAGACCACGATGGACTGGTCCCGGATGAAAAATGAGCAGGACGGATCGCCGTTATTTCTTTCGTGGGCTCTGTCAGCCAGAGAGGCGTCATTAAAAGATGGACAGGTTCATCAACGCAAAGCAAGTATGCCTCTCAAATGAACTCTCTGAAATAGCGGCTACTGAAATAGCAATTTGTTCCGGACTTTTGCCGGAAAACTGCATATCTTGTTATTATAACAGCCGATATGTATAATATTATATTTTGATATATTATTATTATTATTATACTACACACACACACACACACACACACACACACACACACACACACACACACACACACACACACACACACACACACACACACACACACATACACAAAAGAAAGTTTTGTTGAAGTATCTAAAAAATAAAATATGGACAAACACAGATGTAGAAATAATTTCGTTGAATCATAAAAATAATTATGTTCAAATTGATTGCTAGAATATTAAAAGTTTCTGCAATATTATCATCTTAAACGTTCTACATAATAATTTTGCCTAATAAAATTTTTTTCCAGATCCGACCAATTTTTAGATACTTCAGCAAAATTGTCGTTTCCATATTTCAATTACTTAAATTTATTTTTAGATTATATTATCTCTAAATATGTATATTTAATTAATTATCATTTTGCTATTTTACAAATTATCATTTTGGAATCTTTTAATCTTTCTTTCCTTTCTCCTTCATTTTCAACCTCTCAGATATTAAATTATCAGTATAAGTCCTTCGAGTTTCATAAACAGCGTCCACGAGAACTCTTCTCTGCCAGAAAGTCTCTTCTTTCTTTTCGATGTACTTTATATATTTCTGCAGCTGTTTGTTTATCAGTTTGGCCAAATTTTCTAAATAACGGAAATAATTTGACTGATTGTTAGTAATATTGTTGATATATTGGTTTTTCAATATCTCGTCATCACTCTTTGTTTTTATCCAATAATGCTTCACAGCTTCATCTCTTTTCATGTACTTCATCATGTTTGAAACAGGCAGATGAGGCTTTGGTGATTTTAAAGTTCTGTATTGCCTGACGTGCGACAAACAAAACATCGCGTCTTCGTTTTCTATTAATTTCGACTCATTTAGATTCAAAGATGCGTCAGGTTCGATTTTTAAGATATGCGCATTTAAAAAGATTTCTCGCAAATCTTTTCCACGTTCTGATCGATTTGGACTCTTTGACCGCCAAGACTCTTTCAGCAATGCTATCTTTTGCACTCTGCTTTTATCTTGACAAATCTAAAAAAATTAAATCTTGACAAATACACAAGTATTCTGATAGCGAATATAAATATTATTTTGAATGAAAATTAATTCTCTAAAATAAATTAATAAATACAAAAAGGTTTATAAAGAAAATTTCTGTGTCTGTGAACATCAAAAAATGTACAAAAGATATACAGAGTATGTCACAGAGTACATTAAAAAATATACAGAGTATATGTACTCATAATTAACAGTACATTGCTTGGGTGTAGGTAGAGTGTGTTAAACTGAATAGAAAAATTTTCTACCATTTTATGATTTCTATCATTAAAGTTAATTAAATAAGTTAATTAAAAAATTAAGAAATCGCATATCCACTCGGTCCATTGATAAATGCAATATCATTAATTTTAAGACACTGTGTATGTGTGTGTGTGTGTGTGTGTGTGTGTGTGTGTGTGTGTGTGTGTGTGTGTGTGTGTGTGTAATATTATTTGAAAGCATGTTATAAATAATTATTTTTAATAATTTATAAATAATTAATTAAATATATATGTAAATTATCTATAAATATAATTATAGATATCTATTAATAATTATTAAAAATAATTATAATATGTAACTTTCAAATAACATGATATATATTCTTTATTAGAACATAGTATTAAAAAAAAATATCGCATAAATAACCATACCTCTATAGCATCTTGAGCATCTGTAACAATCTGAAGAATCCAATATGGCGGCTCCAAAGGTTGATCATTATTTAATAATTGCTTGTATCTGTTGTTTTTCATTGTCGAGAGACTAGAGCTTGATGTTTTATTCCCGGATTGTAAATCGGGAGTAATCATGAGATCTTCCACGTTTTTTGTCTTTGTTTGATTTACGTTCACCCATTCGACATCCGTGAGAGGCCAACTATTATTAAGCACGAAAGCCTCTATATAATACAAATTTTTCTCCTTGCCCGTATTTTTCAATTTTTTGTTAACGCCTTGATTATTATTCTCAATTTTATAAACTTCATTGTTCTTGGTAGGATATTCCAAGATTACTAAAGGCAATAAAACTGTCGAACTGCCGTTAACATCAGCTAAAATATTGTTGCTTTCATCGACGACTTCTATTCTGATCTCTGCCAGGTTGTATGAGGTTGTCAATCTTATCGAAACAATGCTTCTTTCCGAAGTCGTTTGCAAAATCCATCGCGCGATACAATTCCTCGCATTTGGAATATATATATCAATCAATTCGTCGACCATTAATCTGGGTAATTTAGTTTCTAATGACAAAGGCCACTGCTCATTTAGTTGATAGAGCATTGGATCTCCTTTTATGGTAATCACGCGAATTATCCAAGCGAGCTCCTTGAAGTTCCGCTCATTGTTCCAGCTGTAAGCAAACACTGTGTAACCGTACGGAAGGTATTCGTAACAAATTGGCGCTACGTGGTTTATGAGACGTGTCATCTCGCGTTTATTTTGATTATTGAAGACTCGCAGTGCGAAATGAGGGAGATCGATTATTAGTTCGAAGGCCGCGAGGACTTTCTGTGCAGGCTTGGGATTCACGACAAATCTGACAATTGGGAACCACTGTTTGTACCTAACATTTTCCAAGACACCTCTAAACTCCTGAATATTCAGAACATGTACGAAGTCTCCGGAACAAGGATACAGATCGCCCAAACTGGTATGACGATTGATGACGTTTCTCAGCAATCGGCTTGCGAGAGACGAATCGAATAGATCGGATATCTTCAGAAGCCAATTGCGAATCTGCATATGCAGAGCGTGATCAGAATCATGAAGTTGTTTATATCTCTTTATGAGAGCCATCTTAAAGAAAGATTGAATTATTGTCGCTGCTTGATCGTACTTTGAAATTTCTTCATGATTGCGTGATGCGAGAAACGTTTTCCAAGTTTCTTTCATCGTAAGATCCTGAAGAGATTTGTGGTTCGTCATTAAATTAAGATATTCTAATCTAATCTGCGGATTTAGGAAAAATACTCTTAAAGAATGAAAAATGTTTTCCAGTTCTTCGTTGGAAACGATTTCTTTAATCAGTCGAATTTGTTCTTCCATGAAGAAATGATGTATTAGCGTTCGTAAATTCTTATTTTCCTTTGAAGAAGCAAGCCACACATTGGGCATGTAACTTCGGTAGTAGTCTCCTAACATTGCCGGATAATCTTTTGTCCCAAACGATCGATAAGCTTTGTAGAGACTGTTACCAATCATCTTTGATATTTGCTCGATTCTATTGGATTCTGTTTTCATTAGTTGCTGCACAATCGTCCGATCTCCAAGATGGAAATCCGTGTCGGAAGAAATAATTATTAGATTGGAATCCGAACGGCTATGAATTTGTAAAAGTTGTCTACCAGCTTCCAATTCCATGACGATTGACTTACTGCCAGTTGTGGAAATAGTTACTGATTGATCCGACAAATCGGATACAAAGAACGAGTTGAACCTTTGCAGGATTAAATAATCTTTTTCATGTGAATCTATGTCTTTTTTCTTTGGCACGGTGCAAAAATTGATCAAAAAGAATTTTTTTTTAGAGAATCGCAGAATAAATATAGAGGTTTATATCTGGACTTTAAGATTTTGTGATTGTAAGTATCTGCAAATTTTCAAATAGAAGAAGATTGAGAAGACTAGATAAAAATTTTATCTTACGCTATGTTATTTATGAAATAATTCAATCTGATCCTTGTAATTACCAATAAACGTTAATATTAAAAATGTTTAAAAATTTTGAAATAAAGCAAGCAAAACAATAAACAATTTTTCAGATTAAGAGATATTTTGTTATTTTTCTTCTAATTAAAAGGATATTCTTCTACATTTGATTTAAAACTAAAATACCTGCTTTATCCTTTTTGATATTTTCTGCAGAGGTTGTTTTATAATTTTTGTTAGTTATCTCTAACATGTTGCCTGCCACTTGAATAGAACATTGAAAGTATTCTAGTTTATAGAACAGATGCACTTCGGTTATATATGTAGCCATCTTGTTGAAGTCAATCCATCGACTGACATCATCTTCCGTTGCTTCTTCTTTCGACGTGGTGGGTGAGTCTGGTACCCTCTGAGATCTCATTCTTCTCCGGGTAAATTTATCGAATCGTTCAATCTTGTTCAAAGAGATTGAGTTTCCTGCAGCGTCACTTTCATTGCGAACAACGCTCTCATTGCATTCCTTGAGAGAACTGACCATCCTCAAGTAACGAATCGGGATGAAGTAATCGGCAGGATCGATCATATTTTGCGAAACGGCCCATTTTAGCCAGCGATGCAACTTCCATTTTGCTAATGGCGGCTTTACCTTACAAAGTAATTAAAATTTGAACGAGTTTCAATTCAGATAAAAAAGAAGAAAACGTCTAAAAATATGTTGCAAAGATATTTAAGAAATATTTTAATATTCCTAAGTTTTTTAATCCTTTTTCGTGTACCTTTTATTATTCTTTGAGGAATGTCAATAGGCTCATTTTCTTTTGAAATTTTATTTTTTTTCTATTTCTGTTCTATTCTGTCTACATAAATTGTTGCTTCACCTTAAGAGATAATCTTGAAATTTGCTCTTACATCTTTGGGATCTAGAGGAACATCGCGTGATTCCACCACGTAGATTACATGATCCCAGCAGGGCGACAGACCAGGCACTACGTCGCTTCCGAATGCTCGCATGTCCTCCAAGAGAAGAAATAGTGCGATTGGCTGAGGTTTCTCGATCTCGTTAGCGAGTTTAGGCTGCAAAATTTCTCCGAGTTTCCTTGTCTCATCAATAATATTAGCAGAGCTTTCTACTCAAAAGTACAAATAAGAATAATATAATGCAGTGATCGAAGCAACACCAATTCATCATAGACACGTACATTAGACGGACACACCTGGAACGTAATAGTTGGCGGTTTGCGGCGTCCAGACAAAGTGTTCGGAATATTTTGTCAAAAAGTCCCATTTGTCTTGCAACGACAAGTGCGCGACATTCATTGTCAGGCACGTCCAGCCTATTATTATTATTATTATTATTATTATTATTAAAATTTATATTGTTACAGAATTTCTTCCAGAAATCATCGAAGATTAACGTATTAATATGATAATAATGGTAAATTTTAAGATAAATTAAATAATTAACAATAAAACTTAAAGTATAAAACTTTCTTCAAAACAAAATAATAATTTTTATATGTAACGTAAAAATAAAGAATAAAAAGAATGGATGCGGCGTTCACCTGTGAGGCAAGCAATTGGATGGAAATCGACGATCTCACGGCATCTAGTCCAAGTTAATGCGGCGATCTTTAGTAATGCCTTGGCGAGAAGCATTGGCCATAATTCAAAGTTATTAGACGTACGTGGCAGAAGGGGCCTGTTATCTTTATCCACGGGTATATTGTCGTCCACCAGAATGCGACGCCAATATCCCATCCAATATAATCTTACAACATATTTTCCTGGAAGAAACACACGTTAATGGCATTGCTGTGAGTGGCCCCCCATGTTACACGCCAAATTTTTCAAAAAAAGTCCGAAATTCAATATAATTATATTATTATAAATTAAAAAATTTCTATATAAATCAATCATCAAAACTATTAGCTAGCTAAATGTCTATATCTCTTATCTACCCTTTGGATTTATCACAGGTTGATGCTGGGCATCTTTCCCAGCCTTGTTCAAGGAATACACGTGCATCCAACCGTACCAGAGACTGTAGCGACCGGTCCAGATGAAATTTGAGTTCTCTCCGCTAATTTCCAAACCCTGCCGGCCGTAGTATTGCAGGTTTTCCAACGTGGAAATAAACCACCTCATAAACTACAAATTGCCATTAATATCATTCGCAGGAATGTGCAAACCGTTATTGCATTTTACGTTCAATTAAATTAAAAAAAAAAAATACCTCGCTGTGCAGCAAATGCTTATTATTTGTAATCAGATCAGGATATTCCACAGTTGTCGCATATACTATTGGAGAATTCTGGAAAAAAATCTAGTTTCTATATACTTATGTGCGAATGGAATATATTATCCTTTGCAGTTTTATTAGATCGCAGTTGAGTTAGATTCAATGTCAAATAATTCTGTGAATATTCGAATTAGTGCTTCAATGATTATTATAATTGGTAAACTATATTTTTAAGATCTCCATAAATTTTTCCAAATAATAAAAACTGTTTATTCATCTTAGATTCGCCGATGAGATAAAATTGAAAACATACCTGATTTTCATCTATTTGAAAAAATAATTTAGATCTCAAAGAATAAACCATGTGTCACTATTTACTTTAAAATTTAAATAAATTAATAACGATAAATTTAAATTCATAACGGTAAAAAATTTTTAATACAAGAACATATATAAAAATATATAAATATATAAATGTCTGTTTGATATAAGAAAAGTAATGGTAATAATAAGAAGATAAAAAATAATTTTCGCATTGTTTTTCTTTTACAAAAAGTTAAGCTTGAAGATATGAGAAAAAATTAAGGAAAACAATGCGAAAATTATTCTTTTAATTATTTTTTTATGTCTTCTTATTATTACTATTGTTTTTCCTATATCAAACAAAAAGGTTATAAAAGAAAGCAATTAATATGAATATACATGGACATCTCTCATATATAGTCATATATACTTATATATGTTTTACATAAACAATTTTTTATCTGAAAATAATATGTGAATTTAGAATTCATAATATGTTAATTCAAGGAGTTGTAAATATTTGGAATGTATGATTAAGATAGTAACACTATCAATACCGTTAAATGCTTCAAATCCTTCGCTCGTATCCATTGATTAAGTTTCAAAGATCGTGGTATCGCGACATGCTCTGTGTCCACAAATAATTCGTCAGGATCTTTGGAAATTTCCCATTTCTCGTTGTTTAAGTCGAAATCCTTCCATTCCGGCCACAATGCATGCGCGATATTCGCATTAGAATGATTAGTTTCAACGGTTAAAAAGTTTTTAAACTTTTCCGACATATTGCAGGAAAAAATATCATAGAAAGACACAAAAAGCTGCATCTTCAGAGGAATAAAGAGATCTGTATAGAGTGACGAATTGTACATATATTATAACATTATAATTCTGAAAAAAGTATATATTTTTTTATTGATCCTTTATTATACACTATTATATGGACAGAATGTGGAATGTATTTATATATCTCGATGGTCGTGAAACTAAGAATTACAAATTAGTTAGTACGAAGAACCTATGTCATTAATCTCTAATATAATGCATATTTATTGTAAAAAAATTAAGATATAAAGTAATTATAACGTATTCTAAAAAATTGTAATGTATTCTATGTTATAAAGTATTCTAAAAAATAATGGTAAAGATGAAATTTCATGAAGAATCATGAAAGCCCTACAATTAGCGTGATTTGTCATTTAATATTCTCAATAATAGTTTCAGTCCTTCCTCCAATGGATAAAACCAAAAAGCTCTATTCACGTATGTACAATTTCTTTTGCAATCACGATTTTATAACAGCACATAGCAAAAGATATTCAATGATCTCGATTCAATAATTGTTATATCACTACTCTTGCACTTTTATTGTTGAATCAATTGTCAACTTATATTTCTTATATTATCAACAATTCTTTCTTTTCATAATTTTCCTTTGCATAAATGACAACATTGTTGCAATTCGGCTCGACGGCTAGTCAGTATTTTAATTATAGAATTATTCAATTATATACACGATTACATTTGATCATTAGAACAGATGAGACAACTACATGCTAAACACGTTCTCCATGTTAGGCTGATCGGCTATAGTTTAAATCCCTAAATAAATCCGTTAGAACAGCAACAGATATTATGTCACAACAAAGCGTAAAATTTTCAAAATTCTGAAACTATGCTTTAAATCAAGATATATGAGATAGAGATATAGGAGGAAGCCTAATTCTCTCTAACTGCAGAATAAATACAACGAGGTGTGAATTACATTTAATATTTTACCAATTTAAAACAGTGTCAAGTAGGATTTTCGATACTATTGTATCTTTACAATACAATGATGATAAGCCTTCACGGAAAAAATTTACGCGACAACGATACAATAAAGATATTTAATCGATATAAGCTTACTTTCCTTTTTTCTTCTTTTTCATAGATTTTTTTTTCCTTTTCAGCGTATCGAGAATCTTTGGCACTGATATTCGCTACAAGTTTCCGTCCTATTGAACGTATAAAGCAAAAGTAACACTCATATACCGTGATCTTTTTAGCTATATTTATAAGTTCTCTTCTATCTAAAATCTTTCAAAAATATTTAATTCAGCGGCAATTACTTATTTCATATATGAAAGTGAATCAAGAAGTAAAGTGTATTTGCTTGTAAAATGCAATAACATTGCATTACTTAATAGCTTTTCATTAAATATATATCAATGATAATAATAGAGACAATGATGAGATTTTACATGAATATAAATTCTTTAAAATTTAAGAAAATTTAACTGACATGCGATGTATGCAGTTTCAATAACGATTGAAAATTTTTCTTTTTAAGGAAAAAGATTCACAAAGTAATATTGTGCATGTTGCAAAAAAGGATCGTAAATTCACTTTACTTTTTGACTCTTTTCGTGTCAATGTACAATTTGTTTGTTGGTGTTATCTACTCGCAATTATTTAGCAATCAAGAGAGCTATTAATAGTGAAACTCGGCGGTGCGAGAATACTTTTTCGCCCACTGTCTTTACGCGTAATATATTCTTTAAAAAATAATCTTGCTTTTTCTTAATAGATGGAAGTAAATTGAAATACGCACGAAAAAATATATATATGTATATGTATATAAAGTAATAAACCTACAATCTCTTGAGAGTGTGAATATTGGAAGGCCCTTCGGGTTTGTTCGCGAACGAATATCCAAAAATAATTCACATCCTCAAACTGGCAGTGTTTGGAAAGCCTGTTTTGCACGCGCGATTGTAGTCTCGTGTAAAACGGGCATTATAAAATTCTTGATAATACTAAAACCGATGCTAGTTACTGGCATGTCACATAAATCACGACTATCGTCGGCCTGCAAACGCATTACAATTTAATATTCGCGATTTATTCAGGATTGGCAAATAATTTATTTATCGAATGTATAGCATATTATATTCAATAGTAATTTATTCGATCGAGTAGCCAGAAACTAACGGCAGTTGTTATTACTAGACAAATCAACTGAAAAGCTATTATCATTATTGCATTGTTATGTAATGTTTTCATACAACCAGCTTCTAAGCAGTTTGTTAAACTACAGAATATCAATTACAAGAGTATCAATTACTTATTATAGACGTGACACGATATTGTAGTACGTGACACGAGTCACGTAATCTACGTGAACAATTAAGTCTATTTGAACGGAATCAAAGACCTGAGTGCAAAAACGAGTTCGTTTCATTAATTATTTTCACGTCTGAAGGAAAAATAGGAAAATAGCTTTTCAAGTGATACATATTGAAGTGATATTCAATATGTGATACACATATTTCAAGTGATACATAGAAGATTTGCATATATCTTCAAAGTGTCTTCACTGAATTGAATATAAAGTCTATGCAGAATCTTTCAATTGATTGGTTTCAGTGGCGGGAAAGCGAACAGTTATGTTTTATATGACACATAAATTCTTACTTTTTTAAACAATAAGTTTCGATATTGTTTAACTCATTTTGCATGCAACTGTTACACAAAATCATTACAGGCATCTTTCTCTAATTCTTAGTGCGAAAACGTATGCGCAGAAATGAAATTTTGGTTTAGAAGCTTGAACAATCTTATAGTCAAGATAGACCTATATATTTATCACATATTTACAAAGCGATAATATTCGTTAAAGCTTTGAAATATCTTATTAACTTCGCCGCAACAAACAAGGAATGTTTTCGCACTTTATGGCACGGTGCATGATTTTCACCAGAGTCATTATTTTCGAAACAGAATCAGACCGTTCAGAGATAGTACCAACTTTTTTTCTATTAAGTAACCAAGAAAATGAAAGTTGCAGCAATAAGCAAATTAAGGTGATGTAATCGAGAATATGTCAAGTAAGAAATTACGATAAATGGAACGTATTGTGAAGACCTTAAGTCACCATCTACTTTTGTAAGCTTAGCACGCCTTGCCGGGTCCGGAAGCTCTTTGATCCTCCATTCGACCAGCTTGAAGTCTTTGAATTAGGGCAAAGAGGTCCTCTTCAGGCACAGTGGAACCCGATTGTGTATTTCCATTCGATCTTCGGCCCCTTTCCTCTTCCGCGTCTTGCAACGTTGATGCAGCTGGTAGAGGACTTCGCTGATCCTCTAGACGTGAACTCTGAAAGAAGGTACACAGGAGGAGTTCTTGCACGAAATATCCTTCTCAGGCAAAAAAAGATTCCTAACAACGAGAAACGAATAATATAATAATTTTCGCTAAATTAGATCCAAACCTGGCATCTGACGAGCATCTCGATGAAGGAATCATCTGAGTCCTGATTAGTATTCAATCCTGGCAAGTAGGGTAATGTCACTCGTTGCTCGTCCATCCGTTTGCTCTGCATTCCTGCGATTAATTCTAACAAATCTTCGCCGTCTCTGAAAGTAGAATTATTAGATGTATGAAAAAGTGTAACTTAATATGTTGTCATCAGTTGTCATGATTAATTCTTAGTAAGATTAGTAAGTTTTCACGTACTTGTCGTCCATATCGGATACTTCCGGTGTAATTGTTCGATATTTTGGATTACGTTTTGTGTTGAGCGCGCAACGTTGATCATCCATCCTACCTGATTGAAACCGGGATAACAGATCGAAAAAATTATCTTCCTCCTTTTGAGAAAGTTGTGACGCAACATTGTCATCTTTGTCCAACACAATTTCAGACTGATCCTTTTGCTTTGCGTCAGGTGTGAGCTAATTAAACAAGATTGTTAGTTTTATTAATTAAGAATGAGAATATATTTGTGTGTGTGTGTGTGTGTGTGT